GCTACCGGTGCGATGGAGAGGGAGAGGGAGGGAAGGGAAGGCGTGTGAGTACAACAAACAAACCGTTAATTATATCTTAAGTTACACTATCTCTGGATACCCGGTCTCTGTTCCAGTCCTTCCTGTCGTGTTGTCGATCACTCCGGAACTGCTGGTTATGTCGACCACCGAAGTCCTGGTGCTGTCGGCCGCCGGACGACTGATAGCTCCGATCGCCGCCATAGTTGTCGGGCCGATAAGGAGCGCCTTTTTGCTGGACCGACAGCACCGACGCATTGGACTGACTTCTGCCGCGAAAACGATTGGTGTGATTATGATGATCGCCACCACCGCCTCTATGATAATGGCTGTCCCCGTCGTCTGGGAACGACATGCCAGCGTTGGACGCGCTCTTATGCTTAGGGGTCCGGTGCTGAAGCTGCTGGTGATGGTGCGGGTGCTGTGGGTGCGGTCTCTGAGCCGACTGTCCCTCAGCGTAGGCCCCGATCGACGACGAGGCGTTGGATTCGCTCCGGGGTTTGGATTTCCAGCGCCGGTTCCGATTGCGGTTACGGCTCCTGGACTTAGAGCTCGCCAACGACTGACCCTCTCCGCCGAAGTTGTCGTAAAATGGGACCAATTTATGCGGTGATGTTTGGCTCCCGTGGACAGGCATTCCGCTCATAATCTTTCACTTGAGTCCAAATCTGGTCGACCACTATAAGGGCTATAAGCGATTGAATGAGACTGAAGTTTATGAGACAATTAAGTTTCATTGAACGCCTTACCAACAAAACACAATATACGAACTGAATGGACAGTTGGTGTCAAAGTATGGAAACTGGGGGTTAGGCCTACAAACTAACGGCACGACTGCTAGAGATATAATGAGAATAATTTGGTGGAGCAGTGGTCTGTTATATGCAAAAAATACAGTCATTTGGTAGTACTGTACTGTATATTCAAGGATATGAACTGGCTAACTATTAGCTAGTTTCAATCTCATGGAAAAGGTGTTCATTTAAGTAAACTTTATACGGTATACAGTAAATGCTTCACCAGTAACATACAGTGAACGGTATACACGTTTAGATTATGCTTATCAAAGCAATGGTAAAATTATTGAACTTAATTTACCAGGATATTTTTAACACTTTATTCATATTTACTTTGAATGAAATTATTTGTTGTAAAGTTTGACTAAAAGTGCTTATGATTTGTGCTATTTTTACAGTCATTTCTTATATTATTGTCGAGTGTATTAAATGTTTACACTGACCTGTCCCTGAACAAAGGTGCCCAAGTTAAGTTGACATTCATGGCCAAGTAATTGACTTACAGGATGTGTTTGATAATTTTATTTTATAATTGTATGCCCGTGTTTGTTTTAAATGCAATAATTAACATATTACTTTTAAATTTAAATAAAATCAAATGAATTCAAATAACAAAATAAAATACAAAACTACGGTATCCATAACTTTGTCTAAACATTATTCTAAGTTATATGGGTAACATTTATTAATACAAAATACTAAGCATGCAATTAACTAAACTCTGAGACATGAATTAATGTACACTGGTGGTTAGATGTGTATATATATAACGTACTACAATACAAAAAACATTGATTTATATAAAATTACATTTAATTTAATGACTATTAAGACGATTGAATGCCATATCAATGGCTACACGACTGCATGGAAACCGATTAACCGATGATTGCAATTGTTTTTCAACGAAAATCTATATTTTATTTTCATTTAATTTGTGTGTGTTTTGCACCCATAAACTCGATTACCCGGACTATTTGATTGCCATTCAATACTAATAACTCGTTATATAATTTCGCTGTAAAACCAATTTTCTCGGACAGTTAGCT